CCTCCCGCCGCCCCGCCGCCATTACCATTGTTCTAGGAGGACACGGCCCCTTCCTCTTCCGGGGACTTCGGGGGGCTCTTGGAGCGCGAGCGGGACTTCGACTCCCTCTTGGACACGGGCGGCGGGCTGCGGGAGCGGGAGCGAGACCGGGAGCGCGAGCGGGAACGCGACACCGACGACGACTTGGACTTGGACCTGCGCGCCGAGCGCGACTTGGACGTGGAGCGGGAGCGGGAGCGTGTGCGGGAGCGCGACTTGGAGCGGCTGTAGCGGGAGCGGCTGCGGCTGCGGGATCGGGACCGGGAGCGGCTTCGGGAGCGGCGGCGGCGCCGAGGACTGCGGGCGGAGAGGGAGGGAGGGAAGAAGGAAGGCGGCGTTAGGCCCGGCCCCGCCCGGCGCCGCCATGATGGCCCGGCCGGCCCGCCGCCATTTCCCCAGGCACCACCCCCTCCGGGACCCCGCGCTCACCTGCGGCTCCGCCGGCCGTAGCCGCCGCCGCCGTATCTTCGCGGAGGCGGCCCGCGGCGGCTGTGATGCGAGTCGGGCGGGCGGCCGTAGCGCGCCATCTGCACGCGCAGCTCGCGGCCGTCCAGTACGGCGCCGTCCATGGCGTCCATGGCGTCCTCGGCGTCACGCTTGTCATGGAAGCGCACGAAAGCGAAGCCCCGGGATTCCTTGGTATAGCGGTCCCGGGGGATGTACACGTCGCCGACGCGCCCGTACTTCTCGAAGACGCGCCGTAGCGTGTCGGGCGAGGTGCGGTAGGTCAGGTTGTCCACCTTCAGGGAGGTCATGCCCTCCACGTCGGGGGGCGGGCGGCCGTAACTCATGGCTTCGGAGGCTGGGCCCGCGGCCCGGGTCTGCGCGGCGGGAAGAAGCGCTCTGTGATATCCGCGCGCGTCGACGGAGGCGGCAGGGCCTCTTTACGGTCGCTCGGCTCGACGCCGCGCCTGGGCGAGAACAGTTGCTTTCCGCGTGGAGACGTTGGCGGGGGTAGAAGCTAGCAGCGCGAGACGGGCGGGCGAGAAGTGCTCCCGACGCCACCTGAGAGACAACTGGACGGGTGCGCCGCCAGCGCCCGTTTATATCGCGACTCACAAAATGGCGCCCGCGCCACCCGGAAATGAATCCTCTGATTGGCTCGTTCTGCCACGCCTCGTAACGTCGCCGCCCCGCGCCCGTCCTCCAGCCCGGCACGCCTGCGCGGAGTGCGACGCACGGGCCGAAAAGCGCGCAGTCACTGCTGGCGGGAGGTGGGAGCGGACTGTACTAGCGGTTGGAAAGCCCGCGAAACACTCTTTCCGCCTGCCAGGAGACTGCGGAAGCGCTCGTGCAGGAGGAAGAGGCGGTGCTGCCTTCCTCGCTCCGCCTTCTTTTTTATGCCAATATCCGAGGTCCACGCAGCTTTTCTACTTGGTCCTTAGCCACGCCTCTGTCAGGTTTTACACGCACGCACTCACAAACACACCCCGTTTGCTTCCTTGTGTTCTCGGTTTCCTCAGAATCCGCGACGGCCACCCCCCCCACCCCTCCCTGCAGCCGGACTCCTCATTTCTGGCATCCCCATTCTAACCACTTGCTGGGCCCTGGAGCTTGACTCCGCTCCCCTTTTCAGACGGCGCCAACGCTGTCACAACGCGTCCATTCGGCCCACGCGGCCAGGGACTACATTTCCCAGCAGGCCGAAAGGCCGGCGCCGCGGTGGTTGTCAGGTGACTGGGTCGCCTGACCCGCGTGACTCAGAGTCCAGCGAGCGGGGCGGTGTCGGCCGCAGCGAGCTCGCCTTTGGCCCCTTAATCCCCTCGTGGGCCCCTCAGTCTGGAACAGCGACATTCTTGGCGCTTCTCCGGGTGTGGGCTCTTCCTTCTCGGATCTCATCCTAGGAATGTCCTAACTCTGCCCGGGGACAACTTCACCTGGAACCCGTGGTTCTGATCCAAGAACGGGCAGTTGACAGTTTGGCTGCCTTGCTCCGGGTTCTGCCTGCTCGTCTCGTCATCTCCTTTTCCCCCTCAGGATTGTCACTGGGTTCGCCCCAAGGAGAACTGACTGCCCGAGGTTGCTGACTTCTTGCAGAGCCAGCCAAAATGTCCCCGGAATCTAAAAAGCTTTTCAACATCATTGTTTTAGGAGTTGCTTTTATGTTTATGTTCACCGCCTTTCAAACTTGTGGAAATGTGGCGGTGAGTTGGAATCTGTCCTTGCTTTGAAGTGCCTGTCATCGTGCATTCCAGAAATGAGAATGAGCGTTAATTATATGTAACAGGGCGTTCAAGCTGCCCCCTTTGTTTCCCCAAATCTATTTATTCTTCCTTGTTTTGTAATTGTTAGCTTGGATTTAATTTCTTCTCCATGAATGAGTGTTAAACCTGACCGTTTGTTTTTCTGATTTGATTTGGGGTTCGGATGTTCGCCTAGTTCTTTTCTTTCTTGTCTGCATTAAGCGCTACACCAGGACTTTTGGATGTTTGTGGAAATAAAACCCAAGACACAGTTGGAGCTGTCTGTCCCACTTCTCTCTCCTCCTTTTCTTTGCTCCTAGTCAGCTTTCAGCTTGCTTAATTAAGCCTCGGTAGTGATTGCCCCTTTGTTGTGAATTTTCATGTCATTCTCTGCCTCTGCGTGCTTGGTAGCAGACTTTTCAACAGGAAACGAGATTGCATAAAAGTTGCCGTTGACTCCTTGTATTTTTCAAACAGCAAACTGTGATCAGGAGTTTAAACAGCACGGATTTCCAAGGCAGCGCATACACCAGGTACTGTACCTTATAATGGCTGTAACTTCACGTTTAACAGTAGTTAAAGTTTAAGTCCCATCAAAGTCACCAGCAATAAAATAAACTTTAGTGATGGTTACTTATATCCCAGGATCTAGACTCCTTGTGGTGGGGCTAGGGGCGGGGCTGGAGGGGCAAACATAATAGAGAAAAGGTTATGAGCTATAGGCTTCAGGTAGAATTAGACATTGGGTTTGACATCCTGGCTTCTGATCTTAGGTTCCTTCTAAGAGTTCAGTCACCCTGTTCACATAATGGTATGAAGCCCTTGGCACAGTGTCTGACATTTCATAAGCACTCAAGGGTTGTCATGATTACTGTAAAGGATGTTTTATGTGATTCGGAGCCCTTTAGGCTTCCTGTTGCTGTAATTTCATAACGATTAATACACTGTCATCAGAAGCCTTGTGATTGTGTCTAGTGCTTAGTTCCAGATTTACAGATGTTGAAAGTGAAGCACAAAAGCCTTCACAAGGTTCCACACACTAGGGTAAATAGAGGTGGGAAGGGAACCTAGTACATACAAGGGGGCTTCCAAAAGTGCGTGGAAAAATTCCATCATCTTTTCATGCCATTTTCCACGCACTTTTTGACGCTCCCTCGTATCTAGCACAAACGAGTTCTTTGATTTTCTTCTAGTTACATACTGGATTGCAGCAACTCTTCACACCTCTGACTTGGTTCACTTCACGACAAACTATCCTGAGCCGGCCTTTGTGTGTGATATTTGAGAACAAACCCCAAACCTGTTGCCTATCTAGTTGCTTCTGACTCACAGAGAACTCAGTGTACAGGAGTTCTGCCCCACGGGGTTTCCAAAGCTGTCATCTCTACGAAGGGAGCATGGTGGCTCTATAGGATACGTGTTGGACTATTAGCCGCAGGGTTGGTGGCTTGATCCCACCAGTCGCTCCACAGGAGAAAGATGAGGCTTTCTGCTCCTGCAATGATTTACAGCCTCAGAAACCCTATATGAGGTCTTTCTGAGTTGGAATTGACTTGATGGCACATAACAACAGCAATGATCTTAACAGAAACTGCCTGCCAAATCTTCCTCCCAAGGAGCGGTTGCTGGGTTTGAACTACTGACCTTTTGGTTAGCAACCCAGCACTTAACCACTGGGCTACCAGGGCTCCTAATGTAGAGTAAGGAGGTGGGATGATGCTCTTTGTTGTAAATGACTGTAATATACCACAACGTTTTGTAGTACCTTGCTTTTATGTGTACTTTAAAGAAATTTTGATAATAGGAGAGTCATAAAAGCTAAAGGAAGAATTTATGGTGGATTTAAAAATAATAAACCCCAAACATCCCACTGCTATAGATCCATTTCTGACTCAGAGCCACCCTGTAGGGTTTCCAAGGCTATAAATCGTTGCAGACACAGACTGTCAAATCTGTCTCCCAAGGAGCAGTTGGTGGATTTGAACTGTTGACCTTTCAGGTAGCAGCTGAGCATTTAACCCTACAGAGCTGCCATGAATCCTTTTATATATAATAAACCAAAAATAAATAAAACTCACTGGTGCAAAGACAATATTCTCCCATGTAAACGATTCACAATAAAAACTTAAAAAAAAAACCCACTGCTGTTGAGTTGATTATGACTCATGGTAACCCTGTGTAGGGTTTCTGAGAGGCCAGCCTCAGGTGTCACCTGCAGGGCTGCTGGTGGATTTGAACTGCTGACCTTGCAGTTAGCAGTCCTCCTCTAATAGTGTCTAGTAACTCAGGACCCTTGAAATGATTTTGTTCTTACTTTGCTATAAGATCTGCGTACTAGGACTGGATCTGTAGTTGATTAACAGTATAAGTGAGACCGTGAGGTTGAGTTAATGAGAATTCTGACTTAACCAAATTATAACTTGGTGCTTGATATTTATAGTAGAGAAATTTCATCTGCTTGCCAGGAGTTGTAGGCTGTTTGTAGAGCACATTGGCGGACAGCGGGCTCTGGAGTCAGATTGCCAGGCTTGGAGACCAGCCACCACCAGTGAGTCACCAGCTAGACCTTTGGAAAATTATTATTTTCTGTAAAATAATAACTACAGTACCTTCTTCAGAGAGTTGTTAGGGTTGAAAGAGAAAATACATGTAACGTACTCAGCATACCCCTGGCCATGGAGTAGCTTCCAGCTCCAGGGACCCTGTAGAACAGAGGTGTTTGCAAGGCTTTGGTCTTTACAGAGGCAGACTGGCACATCTTTCTCCCACGGAGCAGCTGACTAGTGGCCCATCTTCTGGTTAGCAGCTGTTAGGTGCTGTCGGGTCGATTCCGAATCATAACAACCCTGTGTACAAAAGAACGAAACGCTGTCCGACCCTGCACTGACCTCACTACCTTTATTACACTTGAGTCCGTTGCTGCCGCCATCTCATGCTGACCCTCCACTCTACCAACCACGTCAATATATCTGAAGTTAGCTATGATTACAACGTCCTGGGGTGGCACTGTGGGTTAATGCGCCAGACTGCAAAGCCGTTTGAACTGCAAGGTCGGCGGTTCAAGCTCACCAGCTGCTCCTCAGAAACCCTATACAGGGTCGCTATGGGTCAGAATCGACTCGGCAGCACTTAACAACAACAACAATAAGTGTGTTACTGGAGTCCTGGTGTGGTCCTATAGGATAAGCTCTCGACCACAAGGTCTGTTTAAACCACAAGGTTAACAATTCAAACCCACCAGCCGTTCTTCGGAAACCCTATACAGGGTCACTATGAGTCAGAACCGACTTAACAGCACATAACAACAACAAAGTACATTACTGGAATCCTGCTATGGTGCTATAGTATAAACACTGGATCGCGGATTTGGTTTGAACTGAAGGGTCAACAGTTCAAACTCACCAGCTGCACCTCAGAAACCCTATACAGGGTCTCTATGAATCAGAACCGACTCAATGACACTTAACAACAACAACAGTGTGTTACTAAGGACTCCTGGTAGTGTGGTGGTTATGCATTGGGCTGCTAACCTCAAGATCAGTAGTTTGGATCCACCAGCTGCTCAGCAAGAGAAAAATGAGGCTTTCTCTCCTGGTAAAGATTTCTAGCCTTGGAAACCCTCTACAGGGTCACTATGAGTGAGAAATGACTCCCCGGTGCTGAGCAGCAGTAACAGTGCATTCATTACTGGAGTCCTGGTGTGGTGCTGTAGGAGAAGCACTATACTACTATCTGTGAGGTTGGCAGTTTAAATCCACCAGCCGCTCTTTGGAAGCCCTATACAGGGTCACCCTGAGTCAACACTTAGCAACAACACAGTGCGTTTCTAATTATTCAGGCAAACTGATTCCAAGGAACTCTGTGTGTGTTTTGGATGAGAGTTTACAGAGCAAGTCCTTTTTCCTTCCAATAATTTGGACCTGTTTTGTTTTGTGACATTTACTACAATCCCCCCAATGTAATGATGCTCTTCCTTCTCTCCTCCTGGGTCCCCCAAACAGGAATCTGCCCCTCTTTCCCTTTGGTCTCACGGTTGCTGTTCATTTTATTGACTTCTCTGTTGTTTTCCTGAAAGGTGACCCCCAGGGGTGGGCTCAGATCCAGGTTTGAAGGGTGACTAAGGGCCATCTTCTCAGGGTATCTCCAGTCTCTGTCAGATCTATAAACCTGGTCTCTTTCTATGATTCTGGATTTTGGTCCACATTTTTCTTTTCTCCCAGTTTGCCCAGGACCTTGTGTGGTCCAGATCAGAACAGTTGGTAGTAGCAGTTAGGGTTAGGCACCATCGAGTTCTTCGGGTCTCAGGAAGGCGGAGGCTGAGGTTCACATGGTCCACTTGTCCTTTAGATGAATTGTTTCATTGAATCTGACTTTCTTCACTCTTCTTTTCCTCCTCAAAGGAAGAGGCCAAGAGTTGCCTCTAGCTGCTCACTAGCTCATAGTGTCCCAGGCTGCCCACCGCAGTGAGCTCTAGAGTGTTGTCTGTGTGAACCCCATTTCTTCAGTTGACTTGTCCCCCAGACTGTGGCCTTTAGTTCCAAGCCTAGAGACTCATTCCCTCAAGGTGCTTGTTTTCCATGACTTGGTCCTCTGTTTGCTCTACTAAATTGATGAATATATGCCACACATAGAAACACGTATGTAGCAGCTAACCACTGCCGGGCCCACGTATGGTGATGGGTTTAGTCACGTTCGCCTGCCCATACCTGTTCAGCTTGCACATCTGCTGAGTGTCCACTCGTAGGTTCCTATGTTGTTTGTGATATTGCAGGGTTGTGTCTGGATTTACATGTATACCTTGTATACCCCTCGCCTAATGTTATCGTACTGATCTCCCCCTTACCGGCCACGGCCTCTTCCTTCATCCAGGGGTCTTCAGTATTAAGTTCCGGAGACCCGGTAGCGTAGTGGGATACAAGTTGGGCTGCTAACCACAAAGTCAGCAAGGGGAAACTATCAACCCAGCTGCAGGAGAAAGAGAGGCTTTCTGCTCCCGTTAAGATTTACAGCCTCAGAAACCTGATAAAGGGTTGACAGGCGTCAGAACCTGCTCCATGCTCCATGGCACACTACCATCACCACCACCACCACCAGTATTAAGTACAAGTGAAAAGTTTAATATGGTATTAAGCTTAATAATGCGTTAATCAATTCTGACTAAAATTGTGAATGTTTATGAAAAAAAATCGAAGTAAATTTTTGAGGCAGAGCCCCCAAAGTCTTTAATCTTCCTTTTGTGTGTTATGTGCACAGCATGGCGATTATTTACGGAGTATTCTCTGCCTCAAACTTGATTACACCATCTGTGGTTGCCATTGTGGGCCCTCAGCTCTCTATGTTTGCAAGTGGTCTGTTTTACAGGTAAGTTGTAGCATCTGATGTCGCTCATCTATTGATTGACAGTACCTTCTCATTCATTCTAGCACATGTACGCTGCAACGGGCTTCCGTTCTCTTGTAAGTTGAATACCTTGTTTAAAAGTGATTACTAACAATGTTGTTGTTATTAAGTACCGTGGAGTCGGTTCCGACTCATAGTGACCCTGCACAGGGTTTCCGAGGCTGTAAATCTTTATGGGAGCAGAATGCCTCAACTTTCTCCTGCAGAACAGCTGGTAGTTTTGAACTGCTGAGCTTGAGGTTAGCAGCACAATTCGTAACCACTACGCTACCAGAGCTCCTTGATTACTAACAATAATGTATAAAAAAAACAAAACAAAACTCAAATTTGTCGTAAGTCGGGGGCTGTCTTTTTAATAGGAGTCCTAGTATGGCGCTGCGGGATAAACACTGGATTGCTAACCTCAAGGTCAGCATTTGAAACCCACCACTCACTCCTCAGAAACCTTAGACAGAGTCACTATGAGTTGGAACCAACTCAACGGTTCTTAACAGCACACACCTATTAATGAGAACTTGATGGCTTGAACTGACCGGACTGTGGGTATATGACTCTTTTCTTCAGAGAAGTCTTAATTGTTCAGGAATCCCATGTGAGAGAATGTGTGAATGTTTGCTTTTGCTTAACTGGCATTGAAAATACCAAACCAAGCCAAATGCATTGCCATTGAATCACCTATGACTTAGAGTAACCCTGTACAGGGTTTCTGAGGCCGTAAATCTCTACAAGGGCAGAAAGCCTCATCTTTTTCCCAAAGAGCCACTGGGGGATTTAAACTGCTTACTCTGAGGTTCACAGTCTAGTGCTTATCCTGCAGTGCCACCAGGACTCCACGGTCTTGAAACTAGCACCCAAAATCGATTTCTAAGAGAATTGAAAAGAGCTTTCAAGGAGATAATGCGAATTTGGACGGGTCATGTCCTGCCTAGAATCCAGTGAAATCATGACCCTTTTCTTTGGGGCTCTAGAGCTCCATGCAGCCTTACCGTGCACTAAGCTCTTGGTAAAGGTCAGCACACACCATCCGTCAGCTTGTGCTTTCACACGTATGAAATCAGAGATTATGGACTGAGTGGCTTGCGTTTGTCCCTTTCCTCAAATCCAGAGAGGTGTTTTCCAGGCTCCCTTAGAAGGTGTGAGCCCTCCTCCTAGTGAAGTCCTAGCAGGCATGCTTGGCATCCGATTGCAGATACTGTTTGACCATAATCCATTGACCTGTTATATTTTAGCGTGTACATTGCCGTTTTTATCCAGCCTTTCCCGTGGTCCTTCTACACGGCCTCCGTTTTCATTGGAATTGCAGCTGCTGGTAGGCATTTGTATTTCTGTCTCCTTACTCTGCTGGTGGTGGTGTCCCTGGGGGGGAGGGGGAGGGGACAGGGAGGGCTGACTAAGGGTATCGTTTATGGGTTGGGTACGCCAGGCCTAGCCAGCAATCTCCCGATGGTGATCAACTTGTGATTTGAATCCTAGTCCTCTGGACGGCACAAGGAAACTGCCTGACAATCAATTCAGATGAGCACACTATTGGGAGGAACAGCGGCATTTTCTGGGCTCTCTTACAGTCCAGGTAATCCTCCTTTGGTAGCTAAATGTATTATTTTTGTTACCACCTTTCTTTTAGATCGTCATTTTGCTAAAATTCAAATTCTCCACAGTATGTGACTTACGTTCCTTGCTGCATATTGTTGTTGAATGCTGTTGAGTCGGTTCAGACTCACAGCGACCCTGTATAGAGTTTCTAAGGAGTGGCTGGTGGGTTTGAACCACCAACCTTGCAGTTACCTACAGCCACACCAGGACCCTGCTGCATTTAGTAAAGATTCAGAGTTTTCTGGAATTGCTTAAAATGCATAAGGACCGCTGGTGCTTGGCTGTTAACCAGAAGGTCATCAGTTTGAACCCTCCAGCCCGCTCCCTGGGAGGAAAGATGTAGGAGTCTGCTTCTGTCCATCAAGATCCCAGCTTTGGAAACCCTGTGGGGCAGTTCTCCTGTGCCACAAGGGATCGCTGAAAGTCAGAGTGGACTTGACTTAAATTGGCATGACCCCTGCCACACCCTGGTGAGATCCACTGGCATGTTGTGTGTTCCACAAATGAGAAAACGGGCTTAAACCATAAGTCACATCTCTGATTGAAACTGTCATTGTCTCAGTTTCAAAGCCTATCCCTTCCCCGTGCGCTGCACTGCCTGATGAAACACAAAAAAGCTCATGGCCTCCAACTCACAGCTACGTTACAGGACAGTGTAGATCTGCCCTGCTGGGTTAGGCCATCGTGTACATGGGAGCCAACCACCGCCACTTTCTCCTGCGGAGTGGTGGGTTCAAACCACCAACCTTTTAGTTAGCAGCTGAGTGCTTAAGTGGTGTGCCATCAGGGCTCCTTGGCTACCTGGTAGCAATTGATGAACTGTCTCTATCAGCACTGAAGACCTACAGCACACCATAGACTTCCAAATTGCAAAGCAACCCCTGACCTGGATATCAGCTCGTTGGACCCCTTCACGGGTCGTCCCTAAAACGTTGGCATTTACAGGGCTTCACAAAGGCCGCACCTCTGCTCTCAGGGCAGATAGAGCAGATGGTTTCTTCCTGAGTTCATTAACTAAAGCATCCAATTGGATGCAGACAGCGAAATCATTTTGTTGGTTGGTTAGTTTTTTCCACCAAGGTTGTTTAAAATTTAGGATTCTTATTTATTTATTTATTTTTAATTTTGGATTTTGAAAGTAGTAGAAACTTGTTCCTAGGAGCTATTGCCAGAGTTTCCGATAAATCACATGCTTCAAAGTGAGTCACACCTCTGGAGATCAGATTACAGTCAGGTGGATCAGGACCCACATCCCATCTGAGTGGGTTACATTTCTCAGAAATTTCTGAGAAAGAGCCGCATGGATACTTTTCAGCGACCTAGGGTCGGTAGACACTTTTAAAAGGATGTAGGCGGGCCATTTCGCACTTTCTCTGTTTAACAGATTTTGAAAATTGTTTGAAGCCCCATCGATCTTAAAAACAATTTCCTGATGCCCTCTCCTCCCTTTTTTCTTTCCCTCCCAGCTTGTTCTTTGGAAATCTCTTCATATATTTTGCGTGGCAAGGGAAAACTCACATATCAGGTTTGTTTGTATTCCCTTTACTTAGTTACATTTAAAACAAAAAAAAATAATAAAATAATTCCGTAAATACTCATTATTTCTCTGTTCAAACATCGTTCCAATGAGCCTTGGTATCTGAAGGACTCTCAGCGTTACTGCTTAGTCACCTCTTTCCCTGGATTAAGGGGGTTAAACTTGGGGGCCGTTTATGTCTGTGCTTCAAGTAACAACTCAAGAAATGGAGACAGTTAACGCTCTGACCCGTGTGTTAGCCAATTGTCAGGAGACCTTGAAACTCTCTTCAGATGTACCTGTGCTCATCTTGGATTTAAAAAGAATGTGATCGGGGTCTCATGCTGCTCTTCTCTCTGTTTACGGGTCCCCGGTGTTACTCTACCAGGAGGATACAAGTGGAGGGCTCACGTTACCTCCTTGTCCTAAAGTAGAAATCTGACGAGGTAGAGTTGTGGTGGCGACCAGCCACTTCTGAACATAACTCTGATTCTGGAATTGTACATGCGAGCGATGCTATCTACTTTCTTCTCTTTTGTCCCCCCAGAGAGTGACCGAAGAACAGTGTTTATTGCCCTGACAGTGATTAGCCTTGTGGGGACAGTTCTTTTCTTTCTCATTAGGAAACCAGATTCTGAAAACATCCTAGGAGAAGAGGAATCTTCTGATGACCAGGACCCGGAAGTCAATGAGTAAGGAGTTGGGAACCATTCCTTCTATCTTAAATCTCGTTCTGGTCCAGAGATAACCAGCCTTTTAGCCCTAAGTGATCATCAGATATTCTCTGTAGGTAGCCTCAGTAGACCAAAGGGCAAGGCTGTGAAGCAGAGGGGACAAGGGAGAAGAGAAAGGATGTATTAAGGGAGATGTGGGCCTAACCTTTCCCTGGTAACTTTGGGTTGAGGATCCCTCAGCTTTACTGCGGGCAGCTTGTGTGGCCCTGTATGGGTCCAGAAATCCTCTTAATTTCTGGAGGCCTCCCTTAGCTGGTCCTGTTGAGCAGGCACCCAGCCCCATGTGTTTTTACAAGCAGGGACACAGGCTCACAAGGTTAAATTGTGAACAGTCTCTGCTCTGACTTAAAGGTGCTGCAGTGGGCTAAGTGTCAGGTTGTTAACCACAAGGCTGGCGGTTCAAACCCACTAGTTGCTCCGCGGAAGAAAGGTGGGGCCACCTGCTCTCATAAAGACGTTCCATTTCAGAATCCCTAATAGAACAGTTTGACTGTCTCATAGGGTGGCTGTGAGTCAGAACCGATGTCTGTGGGTTTATAAGGGTTGGTCTACAGCACACGTTTTTGGGGAACACAATTCATTCCCTAACAGGGGCTTAATTTTGTGGCAGGAGGATGGGCAATAAACATACAGGAGAAGATCAAAGTAAATGCTAGAGAAACAGAAAGCAGGCAACATTGAAGACCGTTGCCAAGACCAGGGTTCAAGCGTAGTGAGAAAAAAGCTCCAGGACAGCAGGCAGGAGGAGACCATAAGAGTTTGGATCAGAAAACAATCAGTAAGGTCTGGTTTTTAGCAGAATTCTCCTCACTGCTTATAAAAAGGGAAAATTCAGAAAGGCCCCACCCAGGCCTGTTACCATCGGCTCAGGTCTGCTGTTTTCTAGCGTTGCTCTGAGTCCTAAGCACTCCGATCAGATTAAATTAGAGCCGCCAGGCACTCTGAGCCCTGGAGTGGTGCTATAGGGTAAGCACTGGACTGATAACCATGAGATTGGCAGTTCAAACCCACCTGCCGCTCTTGGAAACCCTATACAGGGTCGCTATGAGTCGGAACCGACTCAACGGCATCACAACAACAAGGAGCATTTAAAATAGTTCAGTGAGACAGAGACCCTGGGGCGGGGGGCTGGGGGGACTTGGGGGTAGGCACTGAGGGCCATTGGAAGTATTTGACAGACCATGGAGCAGACAGACCTTTTGCAAACTTCAAGGAAAATGTGGTCATATTTCTGTTCTCTTTTCAGTTTTGAAGGGAAAAAATACCAATGTTTCCTTTTTTTTTTTTATAAATCAGGTCTGCCCAGAACAATATGACAAAGGCAGTGGATGCATTTAGTAAGTAATCTTTTCAGGGACGGCTGTCTTTCCCCCTTTCCCTGGTAACTTTGGGTTGAGGATTCCTCCAATATTTTCATCTGTGCAGGTAGGCCGTTCGGAACTATGCTAGCCTTTTCAGTCAAGAGCTCTGTAATGGGACACACTGCCCACTGAAATGACTGTGTGAGGGAGACAGCTGGGAGTTGGGGTTCTCTCAGGAGCTGGGGGTTTGCTGGGAGAAAGGAAGGGCAGTGGGAGACTGTTAGCTCTCAGCATCGAAAGAGAGCTAGTAGCGAGGCTCCAGAGTTGATCCCTAGCCAAGGACACACTGCTGGGCTCGTCCCATGTTTCACTTCAGTTCATTCTCCCCATCCCATGCCTGGCTTGTAACATACACCCCTTAGGATCCCTAAGGAGCCCTGGTGGCACAGTGGGTTTCATGTGGGCTGCTAACCACTGAGTCAGTGGTTCAAACCCACCTGCCGCTCCTCAGGAGATAGATGAGGCCACCTGCTCTCATAAAGATGGACAAGTTCAGAAACCCGAGGAGCAGGTCTACCCTGTCCCAGAGGGTCATGATGAGAGAGAATCCATCCGACGGCAGTGGGTTAGGCTTTGGTATTGTTCCCATTTCACAGATGAGAAAAGCTGAGGCTTAGAGACAGCAAATGTGTGACCCAAGGTTAACCAGCTCGTAAGGGGTTTGAGCCCCTGCTGTCTGACAGACAGAGCAAGCCATTTTCATCAGGACTAGCTGGAGGCTTCTTCAGAAACAGGCGCCATGTGGCCACTTCTTGCTTTGTTTCCCCAGGAGAGAGCCTCTGACAGAGGCAGTTACTCTCCAGCAGGAAGCAGCTTTGCGGGGGGGTGGGGGGTGGTGGGGGGCACATTCTTGTGTAACTCCCTTTAGGTCACTGGACTCCTTCATGGCTAATGACTAAGCCTGCAGGTTGGCTTTGGTGGGAGTGTTGGTTCTTGACCTAATTAGCTGGGACCCAGGACAGTTGACACAAAGCATGGTCACTTTTGGCCCAGGGGTTCCTGTAAAATTTCAGGAAGTAAATTCATTAAGATTGCAACTCAATTCAACAGAGGAAAAGCTAACATTAGGATGATTATAGTGAGAAACAGGAGTCCTGGTGTGGTGCTGCAAGATCAGCACTGGAATACTAACCACAAAGTCGCCAGTTCAAACCCACCAACTACTCCTTGGAAACCCTACCAGAGCATTGTTATGAGCCACTACTGACTTGATGAAACTTAACAACAACTAAGAAACAAATAGGCAGAATTCAAGTTCCTAGTCTCAGATGCCCAAGGAAGTGGTGGCCAGTACTAGATCATTACGAAGCTGCCCCATGACTCTTGAGTCCAGTCTGGAAGCTGTCCCATGATAATGCCTCTGGGGTTTGGCACTTCGCCAGATGCTGACTCCCTACAATAGCCTAACCATTAGTGATCTCACTGAATTTGTGTTTTTTTTTTTTTTTTTTTTTAATTTATAATAGCTAGAGATTACATTGAAGAAAATGGAACACTAGGATACATTTCAATACTTGACAGGTTTTCTTTCTGGAGCCTACACTTTGAGCATGTTAAGAGGCCTCGTCAGCTGCTGCCCCAAAGTATTGGTTTACTGGCCTTCTTGAACAAAGGGTTTTCTGGTTGAAGGAATAGTTTCGAATATTTGTTTCCTGAGTTCAGATCTAATCTAGTACTCCTCTGTTTTTACAGAAAAGTCTCTGAAGTTATGTGTCACCAAAGAGATGCTCCTTCTTAGCGTGACCACTGCTTACACAGGTAGGTCCTCCCATGGTTCTCTTGCTGCCTGGCAACAGTAAGAGCTTCAGACATCCACCGTGTAGTTACTGCTCACTGGCTGAGGCCCAGTCGGGCGCTGCTTTTGGTCACCTCAGTTGGGGTCTGTGTGGCTACTGACAAAGTGTGACTGAGACTGGAACTGCCAGTGTCTTGCCCATGTCTGCCGCAAGGCTGGGCCTGTCTCCCTTGTTGTCACAGAGATCCCTCCAGGTGACCCCTTCCTCCAGAGAGGAAGGCCGGCCTTCCTGCATTCTGATATGTAGGCCTGGAACTGGCCCAGCAAGTCTGTGCTGCCATCTGCATTGTTCAAAGCAAGACCCAGGGCCTGCCCACATTCGGTGGGGGAGGGTTCTATGTCCAGGCACAAGAACTGGAAGGGGTCGTCCACTGGGACCATCTTTGGAGACTCTGTTGTTGTTGTTGTTGTTAGGTGCTGTTGAGCTAGAGCTTGGTCCTGCTGCGGTCACTGTCAGTCCATCGCGCTGAGGCTCTTCTACCATAGTTACTTAGTGATTATGGGACAACACGGAGCATACAGAAAACTCCCTGTGACTGCCTCCCTGTAGCTTTCAATGGATGAAGATCATTTCCGACATTTCACGGAGTGACCACATGATCACGCGGTGTGCTGATAGGTGATCAATCTTAGGATGGAGGAGTCCTGGTGTGGCACTGCGGGTTAATGAGCTGCACTGCAAGGTCGGTTTGAACTACAAGGTTGACGGTTCAAGCTCACCAGCTGCTCCTCAGAAACTCTATACAGGGTCACTATGAGTCAGAATTGACTCATAGGGTACAAAATCTGTTCAGGCTAAATAGAGTAGACATTAACCAAACTAGTAGCTAGTGTTGTTGTAGTTGTTGTTAAGTGCCATCAAGTTGGTGCCAACTCATAGCAACCCTGTCACTATGGAGTGGCTTCCAAGGAGAGTGGCTGGTGAGTTTGAACCGCCAACCTTGTGGCTCAAGCTGACCTTGTGGTCCAGAGCTTTATCCCACAGTGCCAGTCAGCTACAGCTCATGGTGACCCCATGTGCAATCGTAGCAGAACTGTGCCCCACGGGGATTTCAGTGGCTGGTTTCTTTATTGGCAGTAGATTACCAGGCCATTCGTCTGAGACCCCTCTGAGGGGACCGAACCTCCATCCTTTTGGTTAGCAGCCAAGTGCTTAACTGTTTACACCACCAGAGAGTCCAGAGTAAACACTGTTGTTGGTGCGGTGGTCTGGATTCTGACCCTTCAAGACTCCGTGCGACTGGGTGGAACTGCCCCCTGAGGCTTTCTAACTGTAATCTTTCTGGGAGTCAGGGTACCAGCTCTTTCTCCTTGGAGCTGCTGGGTGGGTTTGAACTGCCAACTTCAGTTAGCAGAGTGTGTTACCGTGGCGCCATCAGGACACCTTAGAATACACACTAAACACCTTAAATTTTACAGCTACGGCTCTGTCACATGAAGGAGACAAGGAACTCTTCTGATTTACTGCTCTTTAGATGTTTGGAATTTTCTGAGGACAAAGGGATTCAGGAAGTGTTACTGTGTGTTAGGTGTCCTGGTGTGGTGCTGCAAGATAAAGCACTGGACTGCTAACCGCAGGGTCTGCGGTTCAAACCCACAGCCACTCCTTGGAAACTCCATACAGGGTTGCTGTGAGTCGGAATAGACTCGACACACTTCACAACAAAATTGGGTGGCGTGCACTGCTGTTTTGGGCATGCATTCCCATTCCTGGGAAAGCTAATAGGGTCACAGGCGTGTTGGAGTCCACTCGCCATCTTGTGAATTACATCCTCTGCCCATCTCAGTCCCTGCCAGTGCCCACAGGTCACCGTTTTAGACACAGAGATGCCTTTGCACATCTGGTTTGTATATTTTTGCTTCAAATATGCAACAGCTGCCACATTGTGGTGAACTCCTCCATTCCATCAGTCACGCAGCCTCAGGTCGTGCTGTGCTTATGGAACATCGGGTCAGGCCACGTGCCTTGTGTTTTCTGTGAGAGTGGGGAAGGGCCCACTCACATTCCACTGTCTCCTAAAGGTCTGGAATTGACGTTCTTCTCTGGCGTCTACGGAACGTGCATCGGCGCTGTCAATGACTTTGGGACAGAAGAGAAGAGCCTCATTGGACTCTCGGGCATCTTCATCGGCATTGGAGAGATTCTAGGTTGGTTACAAAAAAAAGTCTGCATTACAGAGAAAGTCAGTTTGTTAAGATTACATTTGAACCCTGAAGTGCACGGCCTTTCTCTCTCCCTGCCCTTCTCCTTTTCCATGTTTATTTTCTCCCCAGCTAGTAGGTCTTTGTTTTGTTTTTCTGTGATCACAGTTGTAACATATGTATGATACATATGAATGTGACATAAGCACTGGCTTGCTAATCGCAAGGCCGGCAGCTCAAACCCACCAGCCGTTGCAAGAAAACCCTATACAGCAGAGTTGCTATGAGTCAGAACTGACTCAACCTGTGGAGGTTATAGGGATTAGGATTTACAACACATATTTGTGGGGACACAACTCAGTCCACATTGTTTTGTTGTGAAGAGCTGTTGAGGCAGTTCTGACTCATAGTGACTCTGTGTCGGGTTTCTGAGGTTGTAAGTAAGTCTTTATGGGAGCATACAGTCTCCACTTTCTCCCAGGGAGTGGCTGGTAGGTTTGAACTGCCGACCCTGCTGTCAACAGCCCAGTGCTTATCATCCCACAGAGCTACCAGGGCTCCTTTGATAAGGATTATAGTAAAAACATGGCAAATTGATTCAGATCGACTCAGGGGGCTCTTTTGTGTAGGACCTGATAAGTTGCTCCCACTTTTTTATTCTATTCTCTGATAAAGATCAAAGGGTAAAAGGTGACACTTTTGGGTGGTACAGTAATTCACAGGGAAGAACTACAGGAGCATCAATGAATGGGAATGACACTGATTTGGCTGCCTCTCTTTTGTCCTACAAGTTGACATTTGAGACTTCTCGTGTGGCACTGCAGGTTAATGAGCTGGACCACAAGGTCAGTTTTAACCACAAGGTCGGTGGTTCAAGCTCACCAGCCACTCCTCGGAAACCCTATGTAGGGTCACTGTGAGTTGGAAGCAACTCAATAGCACACAACCACAACAGTTGTCCTTTGGTCTGCATTGTCTGCAAGTGCTGAGGTGTTGGGTTCCTTGGAGGCCTGATCACTGGAGAATATTTATCCCTTGGCTTCTTGTTCATAACATCCTGCTGTCCTCACTTTGTAGGTGGAAGCCTCTTTGGCCTACTGAGCAAGAACAATCGCTTTGGCAGAAACCCGGTTGTGCTATTGGGCATCCTGGTGCACTTTGTAGCCTTTTACTTAATATTTCTCAACATGCCTGGGGACGCCCCCATTGCTCCCATCGAAGGAACGGATAGCAGCGCTTACATCAATCCCAGGTACAGCGGTGGCTGTTTCTCGGGTCATCCAAGGGAGGGTGGCAAGATTTTAGCTGGAGCCGCTGACCCTCTGTGGACAGTCTGTTCTTTCCTGAGCTCATCTGTCAAGTGTTAGTGTGATCAGGATGTGTTTAAATAAGAATCCAGGAGAATCTCAAGTTAGTTTTGGGATGCTAGCCTCCCCCTTCCCCAAATATTGCTCTCCATTTAACAAGTCTTTTTTTTTAGGGGCACCTAGGATCTGATTTGGATCTTATAGCTCTGCTGCTTGAGCAGTGCAATACTGAGGAATATTAGGGGCTGGAGGAAGAACAGACAGGAACAAGGAAGAATTTGCCAGCTGGGCAGATGGTCAAGCCCTTTCAGCTGTTTACATAGACTTTGCTGAGATTGTCTCAGTGTCCTTAGCTCACAGATTAGTTCTTGACGAAGCCATTTATGTCTAGATGCACAAATCCAAGGGGCGCCCAGGCCCCCAGCAACAGCAGTTGTTTCTCGAATACTTAGTAGACCAGTTTTCTAGAATGTAGACGTGAGTGAGTTTGTGGGTCAGTTCTTTTTTGGGTACATTCCAATATGTGTTCTTGTTGAAGTGTGGAAAACTCAAAAGTAAAATGCCCATGTGGGTGGGGTACCTTTCTTTTTTAGTTCCTACATTTGAAAGAACTTTAGTAAATATTGGTGATACTCAGCACTATGTTCATCTGTGTCTTGTTTTGTTTTTTAGCAAAGAAGTTGCCATCCTTTGTAGTTTCCTGTTGGGGCTCGGAGACAGCTGCTTCAATACCCAACTGCTGAGCATCCTAGGCTTCCTGTATTCTGAAGACAGTGCACCAGCGTTCGCAGTCTTCAAATTTGTCCAGGTATCCCCTTCTCAGACTGTGTGTACTTAGTTATTTTACCTTTTTGTTGTGAATCGGTGATGGATTACTGGGCAGATCAGTTTCCCTTTCAACAATTCCACACATTTTGTGTCATCTCATTGATTACAATGCCCTCACTCATCCCACTTCCTCCTGTGTTTCCTGTTTCCATTCCTTCTCCTTTCCTAATCTTTCTGAACTCTGCCCTTGGGTAATTGCTGCCCTTACCATCTCAAATGGCTGATGATTCTAAGGAGTTTCTACCTCCCTAGCGTTGTTGTTCCCCTTATAGAACTGTCTGTTATTTGGCTGAAAAGTAAGCCACGGGGTGAATTCCATTCCAGACCTGAAAAGGGAACTAAGTGCCATAGTCTTGGGGCTTCTGCCCAACCACTTAGCCTGCTCTTCTCCGTTACTAAGTAGGTGCCCGTGTGTGTCAGAGTAGAGCTGTGCCCACAGGGTTCTCAGTGGATGATTTTTCATAAGTAGATTCCACTCATGGTGCCCCATGTGTGTCAGAGTAGAAGGGCTCCACAGGGTTCTCAGTGGATGATTTTTCATAAGTAGATTCCACTCATGGTGCCCCGTGTGTGTCAGAGTAGAACTGTGCCCACAGGGTTCTCAGTGGATGATTTTTCATAAGTAGATCCCACTCATGGTGCCCCGTGTGTGTCAGGAGAACTGCGTTTCATTCGGTTTTCAGGCTGATTTTTCTGAAATAGATCAGCAGACCTTTCATCTGAGCTACCTCTAGATGGACTGAAACCTCCCAACTTTTGGGTTAGCAGCCTAGCATAGGAACTGGTTTCCTCAGCCAGTCACCATATTATGGTTAATGCAGTCTGAACATCCTTTAAAAGGCTGTTTGATGAGAATTAAGAAAGCAATGAGTAGTGTGATTTCTTTCCCCCGCTTATTTGGATAAGAGCTTTCACATTCTGGTCTCTACGGCTTCAATTAGACATGGCCTCCCTTAGGTACCGGAGTTCCACTTATTCGTAATATGTTGTTGTTCGTTGCTGTCGAGTCGGCTCTGACTCCTGTCCACCTTGTAGGGTTTCCGAGGAGCATCAGGTGGGTTTGATCCCTGATCTTGCTGTTAGCAGTCCAGGCTTATCCTGCAACACCACCCCAGGACTCCTGTTCGTGGTCTCACTGTGTGCGCACCTTGTTTCACTACAGGCATCCCACACTACAAACCAGGTCTGTTTCGGACTCTGCCGGTAGGCCAGTCGAAGCAGGTGCATCCAGTTCTTAGCTTTACGGGTCCAGGAGGGTGCTCTGGTGGTGCTCTGGGTGAGGCATTGGGCCGTTTACTGCAAGGTTGGCGGTTCTAACCCACCAGCTGTCCCCTCGGAGAAAGATGAGGCTGGCTGCTTCAGTAAAGACTTAGCGTCTCAGAAACACCGTGGAGCAGTTCTCCTCCGGCCCAGGGTCACTGTGAGCAGAATCTTCTACGTCCCGGGAGTGGGAAGAGGTATCTACGAGGGAGCTGCCTGTGTGTGCTCTGACCTTCACACCACACTGCTTTCAGTAGCAAAGATTGTCACATCACCAGCTGTCAGTGGTGGTTGCTGGGGTTGGTGACTAGTACAGTCCTATCTAAGGAGCTCTGGTGGCGTAGTGGTTACGAGTTTGGCTGCGAACCTCAAGATCAGCAGTTGGAAACTCCCAGCTCCTCCATGGGAGAAAGCTGAGGTTTTCTGCTCCCGCAGGGTCGCTCCAAGTCAGAATCCACTCCATAGCATACCACCATAGTCCTATCTCGGGACAGGGACGGTGCTGCCTGGAGCAGTCGAGCGCTGGGTCGGACAGTGGTAGGGCCCCCGACTCAGCCATGAAGCTGCTCCGTTCAGTGACCTGTCCTCACTTTGTGACCTGTCTATCTTGTTTGTTCGTAGTCCATCTGTGCAGCCGTGGCATTCTTCTACAGCAACTATCTTCTCCTCCCCTGGCAACTCCTGGTCATGGTGATATTTGGGTTTTTCGGAACGATCTCTTTCTTCTCTGTGGAATGGCAAGCTGCCGCCTTCGTAGCCCGGAGCTCTGACTACCGAAGCATTTGACCAGGGAGCCAGTGAGAGGCGAGCTTCTTCCGAACTCGAGTTAATGGTGGAATGCTGGCGGGGAGAGGCCACCAATCAATCATTCCCCCTCCATGTCGGGTGATGTTCAAGGTGGAAATCAAAGAGTTAAGACTGTTAAGGCAGCCAGTGTCTGGATTCGAGTTTACAGACAGTAGATATTTAAGGGAAATCTGATCTGTCGATTATAATTGTTCAATGATGTTTTTCGATTCAACTTTCTCCTGTTACTTGCAGTCAGTGTTTTCTTCTCCCTCCTGTTCTCATTGAAAGGTCCTTCTTCAATTTAAAATAGATCCTTGCTGGGTACTGAGTGTGGGGGTGCTTTACTATATTGTAATAGTGAGCATGTGCCACCCCACATGTGTGTCTGCAAAGGACATTGAGATATGAATAATGAGGAGCTGAAATGGACTTCTTAACTTTGAAAAGATTTGCACTCTTTTCCTCTCTAAACGTTTTGATTCAATGAGTGTTTTTACCTTGCAGTTCATAGCACGGAGTGATCATTTAAGTACAGAGAGTCCCTGACTTACGACAGTGTTCCAATCCGACGACTCCATCATAAATCAGTTCTAGCATGAAGTCGAATACTTCATTGTTTTAGTTTCCATAATTATTGCCTTTAGCGTACGGATCTGTGTGAGCCCGGTGTGTATTTGGCCTCGGGGTTGTCATGGGAACGATAACATCATCCGATTATGCCCTATAGCGCTGTATGCTGTACATGTTTCTAGCCAGAAGATGTATCCACACCACCAAAAAAAAAAAAAATGGACAGACGTTAAGTGCAGCTTGTTGTAAACTCAAGTATGTCGTAAGCCAGGGACTACCGGTAGTACTAAATGATGTAAAAATTGTTTTCAGTCTTAGAAACATGACTCTCTTAAGTGAAGAAAAGCATATCTAAAAATCGAAACACATTTATTAGAGAGGATTTTTGCTAGTCGTTTTCCTGCAAGATGCACATTTCTACCCTTGGTGAAATCCGCGGCAACTGGCTAACTCCCTTACATACCTCTGATCGCAGACGCCGCTCTGAGTAGGTGTCAGGCTCGGAGTGCAAATATTTGCAGAGATGCTTAAATGGAAATGTTAACCTTCTTTTCTGAGAGCGCAATTAACATTTTGTTGTTGTTGGAATCCATTTACGTGCCATGAAGGTCAGTAGCTTTTAGTGTCCTCACATGGTTTTGCAGCCATCCCCACGATGTAATTCCAAAACATTTTCATCCCCCACAAAAGCGACCCTGTACCCATTAGTAGGCACTCCCATTCTCCCTTCCTGCTGGCCTGGCATCCACTCACCTGCTTTCTATCTCTAGGGATTAGCCTAGTCGGGAACTTCATAGAAATGTGAGCACTCACTTTTCACTGTGACGTTTGACTGTACAAATCAAGAGTTCTGTGGCCAAGTCAGTTCAGCCAGGAAGTCAGATAACTTTTATTTTATTCTTTTAAAGCCTGCTTAGAAATTTTAGAGTTGGCTTACAAACCTGAAGCAGTACTATAGCTCCTTGCCACCTGGGCGCCTCCACAGGGAGCTCACAGCATGGCGGCCCACTTCATCGGGTAGAAAGTCAGAGAGAAAATGCAGTCTTTGTCTGTTGGTTGGTTTTTTTAAATGTTTTTTTGTGAATTATGTGATAGTTTACATGGGAGAACATTAGTTTTACGTTCATTCTATCGTATATCGTCTCATTGCCACGGTTACAATCCCCTCCATGCAATCCTTTCCCCGACCCCTCAGGTCTTCAGCACACAGCCCCTCTCCCTCTCTGGATCTAAAGTCTCCAGCTGCTCCATCGCTCCACGTCATCATCTCTGCCTCCATTTCAGGCATCACTGCTTCTCTGGGTAGGGTCCCGCTCTCTGCTCTTCTCCCTTGATGGTCCCAGGGCCCTCCGCTCCTAGACTGAAAAGTTAATCACTCCCCTCCTTGATATAAAATGTCTACCTTTACATTTCCAACCCTCACAAACTGTCTGTTGGTTTTTAACAGTTGTGTTTGGAGATTTCATTGTGTTCTTTCAGAAACCAATCGATCAAACAGTTAAAAAAACAAAACAGGGAGATTGGCAATACGCTCTACCAATTCTTTTTTTCTTCTTATGTAATTGAGACTGAGTGGTCTTTCAAGACTGAATCTTGGAAGTAACCTGCCACATTCTGTTCACTAGATGTGGCCTACACTCAGTGGGAAGGGTATGATGGCCAGGAGACAGGGAACATTGGAGGCCACTATACAAGGCTGCCCACCACACCTGAGTTTCAGCTGTGTCCAAGCCGCCAAGCCGCTCATTCTCCCAGCCTCCTTCCTGTTTGCACAGCTGTCCTGGCAGATAGGGCTGATGGCGTCTCTGTGAAGGACACTTTCTATTTTAGCCCAAGGACGCCCCCGCAGCGCATCCCAGCTGTCAATGTCAGCAGGGAAAGAGAATCCAAGGACCGGCCCCCTGTTGGACACCACCTCCCACCACCACTGGACCCCACATAGTCATTTGCTGGGCTACCCGCTTCAAGGCTTGAATACTCTCGTTTTGTTTTGGGGGGGGCGGAAATTTATGTTTTCACTCCATTTTTGTTTGTATACATAGTGTCAACCTTGGTAGGTTCGTTCAGTAACTGGATAAACATTATTTTAAATTCTTTTAAATTATCAGCATTGGTTAAAACTAAGAGGTGACAATGAAGTAACAGTTGAAAATGAGATGTGACCATGAAATAAAGAGTTTAATTTTTATGCTTGTCTTTATACTTTGTCAGATCATTTTATCGCTGCACCTCTAGATACTTAAAAGCTATAGCTTGATCTCTTGTGTGTATGTGTGTGTTTAAGTATGGACACATTGCTTTTATTACAAGTTTCATATTGTATGGGGGTGGGGGGCTTCAAAAAGTTTATAGAAATAGGAAATTGGAAGAGTGGAAATTATACATGTTTTTGAAGGCCCCTCATAGGTAGTAAACTTTGGTTTGTTTTTAAGGGCCATCAAGTGAGTTCTGACTCATAGCGACCATAGGGTTTCCAAGGAGTGGCTGTTGAGTTTGAACTTCTGACCTTGGTTCAAAGCAAACTTGTGATCCAGGGCTTATCCTACAGTGCCACAGCAGGACTCCAAACTTTGGCTTAGTCCTGGAGGAAACTTTCTTTATTGAGTCTCAGCTGTTTCTTGCTGCATCTGAAGTCTCTCTTCCCCCATTTTACCTGCTCCCTGAACTTGAAAACCTTTCAGCCTGAACTTGGGCTTCACACGGAGGGTTTCTGTCCTCAGGAAATCGTGGTGGGCCTGTTGTTGGTGGACTTACAGACAATAGATCCTCTGGTCAAAATACAGATAAGTTGCCAACTGATAGTTTAAAAACATTGATGATTTTGAGTCATGGTGTTTTTGTTCTGCTGTGATCGGATCACTATGTGTTGGTACAGACTAGATGGCACCTAACAACAACAATGAGGTGATTGAAAATACTATGACTTCAGTCAGGCTTACCTTATACTCCTCCAGCTGACATCTTTCCTCTTTAAATCTTTAAAGAGCTCTTGTGCAGCAGATTTGCCTAGTACAATGTTGTCTTTTTTTTTCTTTTTTAATTCAAAGTCTTATTTATTTTTGAAACAAAATTTATTGTGAATTGAATGTAGGTTTATAGAGCAGGTCATCAGTTTTCCATTCAACCAATCACACACTTGGTTTCATCTCAATGATTGCAATCCCCTCCCTGCAACAACAGTTAGCCACTTCCTCCCTGTGTTTCCTGGTTCCATTGCACCCTCCTTCCCTCCCTTCTCAACTGTGTTCTTAGGAAAATGTTGCCCTTTTGATCTTCAGTGGTTGACCATTTCATGGTGTGCATACCTCACTAGTGTTACTGCTCCCACTATACACCTATCTGGAGCTCTGGGAGCGTAGTGGTTATGAATCGGGCTGCTAATCTCACGGTCAGCAGTTTGAAACTACCAACTGTTCCACGGGAGAAAGATGAGGCTTTGTGCTCCCATAAAGATTTACAGGCTCAGAAGCCCTATGCAGGGTCGCTATGAGTCAGAACCGACTCCACGGCACTTAACAACAATAACAACATACACCTGTCTACTGCTTGGCTGAAAGTTGGGTCACAAGAGTGAGTTCATTCCAGACCTAAAGAGTTGTTGAGGGCCATAGTGTCTGGTTCCTCCCATCTCATTCTGACTAGTAAGCCCGGTCTTTTTTTTACATATTTAATTTTGAGTTTTGTTCCACATTTTCTCCTACTCTATCTGGGACCTTCTCATGGGATCAGCTGATAGTGGTAACTGGGCACCATCTAGTTCTTCCGGCTTCAGAGTTGTGGTGTTCCATTGGCTCATTGTTTTAGTTGATTTCAAGCATCTTCAATTTTTACGACTATTCTTTCTTCAGCACATGGAGAGATCAATAGTTGCCCCTTACATGGCCACTCATGAGCGTTTAAGATTCCAGTCATTACTCACCACAGTTGGATGTAGAACATAGTGTCTGTGGATTTGGTCCTGAGCCACTAGGCCCAGCAACTCATTGCCTTAAGATGTGTGATAACATCTAAGACATCATTTTGCCCCTTGTAGTCACCACTTTCATAGGTGTCATTTGTTTTCTTTCTCTTTTTTTTCAACTTTTTATTGTGAATTTAGTGAAGGTTTACGGAGCGTATCACCACTTTGATCTTCAATAAACCATACGTTTTACTTCACTCTGTGGCTGCAAAATGCTGAGAGCTTTCTTCCCTTTTGGTTTTCTAACTCCAGGTCTTTGCACATTTTATTATTCTAGTTAACTTGGTCTTCTTGAGCTGTCCTTGGAACTTTTCTATTCTACTCTTTTATTTCATTTCTTCCAGTTGCTATAAGTTTTCTATGCTCAAGAGCAAATTTCAGAGTCTCTTCTGACATCCATTTTGGTCTTTTCTTTCTTTCTTGTCTCTTTAATGACCTTTTGCTTTTTTCACATAGGATGTTCTTG